TCACCAATAGGCTCAGTCGTAGTATCGCTGTTGGCTATCAGTCAGCCATGACTATCCATACCCCATTTTTTCGAAGTTGAGTCAGAACCTCAGATTTCGCTAAGGTGACGTCCCTAGGGGTTATTTGACCCCCTGAACACGAATATGATACCTGTTTTGCGCGAAGAGCGCTGTGAGTCGCGCTACATGTGCCAACGCTTCGGCGCCAGCGCGCCCGTAAGAAGAAAAACAGTAAAGAAAAACCTCCATAACTCCGCTCAGAGAATCGTTCCGCAAATTTTGAAGATAGTTCTGAGTTCACCGTGTCAAGATGAGTACAATGATGTGCATCTCATTGCAAATGGCCAGGCTGACCTGTTGACCTTTCCTGATCAGCTAAGGCTGAGCCTTGCGGGAAGGTAGTCACTTCTCCTCCCGGGCACAGCCTATGACAACTATCAAATGGCGCAGTGGAAGCGTGCTCATCGACACTCGGCATCTGGGATCGCCAGCACATAAAATGGGTCGTCTTTTCAACGTCGCTTGTTCCACCTTGGCAGCTATGACAACTATCGGATGGCGCAGTGGAAGCGTGTTGGGCCCATAACCCAGAGGTCGGTGGGTCGAAACCACTCGCTGCTACCAGTGAGTGAAGCGTGCACAACAGTTCGGAATAACTAATCCTTTACTAGCAACAATGGTTAACTGTCTAGAACGGTAGTAGCTGTAGGCAGAAGTTGTAGTCCAGCCGTCCGCGCCGAGCACATCTCGCGTCTCCTCGTGTCCGCCCATCGACCACTCGGCATCTGGGATCATAAGATCAGAACGCATATTGATGACACGCAGCTCCTACCCTTACAGCGGGCACAGCCATAGCAAAGGCTAAATTGCGCTGGTGTCAAAAAATGAATGGCTTCCCATGATTAGGGTATTTGTCAACCCTACTGTACAAGTTTTCATGATATTGGCGACAAAGTTGGCCGCGCCACCGGTTCTATGTACCTGACGTGAAATGCTGCCAGTGACAAAAATGAATGCCACATTCGAGATCAGGACATCGAAAATCATCTACAGGCACAGTTTCAGCGAGAGTTTAGCGCGACGTGATGGCATTACAATTTACTATGAATCAATGAAGCAAGTAAAGAAATTAGGGAGATGAAAATTGACTTGAGGAAGCGTTCCTGCAAAGTTTAGGAGGGAGACTAGTAAGACATATAATTTTATAGGTGAGATAAGGGTGTGGAGCTTGTACAAGTGGGGGCGACCACACGCGATCTGACCGCAGGTGAGTATGGAGAGGTGCTAAGTGATGTCAACCTATATAAAGTGCCACTCCTAGGCGGCAAGTGCATGTGGAATCGATACCAGATGGGTATGTTATTTTATGGGTGCTTAGGTAGCAATACCGAGTCGTAAACAACTCGACCTTGAAGCCGTTGAGAGAAGAACATGTCCATCTTTCACAAAACCAAGCTTCTCTCCATCACTATGTACTTCACTTCAGTTCCAAGAATCTGACTGAAGGTAAATTCCACGATAAACAGATGGGCCTAAAAAAGAGCGAGACGCACGACCGTAAGCTTTCGTAGTTGGCTCATTACTGTAACAGAAGAGGTGCACCAATGACAAAGGCATAATGATTATGTGTCCCCGCCCATTCGATTAAAGCGAAATGTGTCTTTAGGTCTTAGTGAAGCGACTGCTTCCTTTTGTGCTACACAACACGCACACACATACACACACACACACACATAAAAGAAGTATCTATTGATTACTATATGATATCTATTGATTACCATATGATATCTATTGATTACCACATGATTTTTACGGTCTCGAGCTGTCTGCATACACTTTCGG